CTCACTCCTCATCGCTGTCCTTCCGCAATACACTCAAGTAGGGTGATAACCCCCTTCCAACACTAATGGCCCCTCGCGGATCAGTTCGATCTCACCATCCTAACCTTCAGAAACATAATGAGGCAGCAAAACCCCTTGGGGGGGCATCGACAGAGGACGTATTTTTGGCGTCATATGTGCCGTGGATCGCCAGAAACGGAGCAGCACAGGAAAGCTGGCCTCGAGTCAAGCCTCCTACACAAGCTGCACTGATGACTGTGTAGAAATACAACCCACCTACAATCCGCGGCATGGAAAACACTCCTCCCCATCCCACCATTCCCTCCTCCCTCTCCCCTCCCCTCTCCCCTAGCGCCCCCCCGCCCCCCTCTCTCCTCTTCCTCCCTTGTCACAACGATATACATTGGTTATCGGACCATTGTCTATCTCCTTCACTGCATAAAGCATTGCTCCACCGGCATCTACACCACCGGTGGAAGACAGATCGCCTACCTTCTCTCTTTCTCTCTCTGCATGATGAAACGAGCTCAGGGCAACTCCCACTCGAAATCTGCATCTGGTGTAGGACGCTAAACTTCCGCCAGAAATCTCGGCCAGACGTCGGTACAGGGATTCTGATCCACGACCGACAACCGAAATGTGTGTGCCCATGACCATGACGGCGATGATGACATCGACTGCTCAATGGTTTTCAAAACAAGAAAGAACAATAAAGAGGAAGAAGAAAGAGGAACGAGGAGGAAGAAGAAGAAAGAGGAAGAAGAAGACGAACAACTACTTTGAGCTATATATTCACAGCCTGATTTTGGAGTCTTTTCTTTTTTTGGGGGGGGATTTTGGAGTTCCTGTTCCTGTCGGGCCCAATTTCCGTTCCACGCCAAATTCTGAAATTCCCGTCTGGTCCCATGGAGTGCAGCCGTCATGACGTCGTATACTATATATAGTATACTATAATGCCGCGTTCCTCCGCATCCTCCGCAACCTCTTGAACGGAGCGTGTCCACGATGAAATCTGAAAGTCGGACCCTCTATCATACATGCCGCAACGAAGAGTCTGCCACCTCTTCAGTTGCATAGTATAAAAAAAAAAAAAGAAAAAAAAAAAAAAGAGTCTGTCGCTTCATCGACTGTAACGAGGAATGACACCTGTTCGACCAGCAGCAACCCGAAGCGCGTTTTTTCAAAGTGCCCGGTGTGTGGCAGTGTCGCACTACAAGTCAACAGCACTAACCTGGAAAGGTTTATCAATCTATGTGGGCGTATCTGGACACCTCCACCTCCTGATACAGATCACCTCCTCCCGTATACCCACCCGTCGAACGACTCCACAACACAGTCGCTAGCTTGTGACACGTTAGAAAACAGGAGCTGCACTGTAGAAATGGTCCAGAAGGGGGACCGCCTAGAGAGGGGCCCTATGAAGCCTTCAGCCCCTAGAGAGGGGCCCTATGAAGCCTTCTGAAGGCGGACCCCCTTCAGAAGCGGGACCCCCTATGGAGGAGCGCCCCCTTCCTTCCTCTCAAGCGTACTCCAGAAGGTGGACCCCCTAGAGAGGGGCCCTATGAAGCCTTCTGAAGGGGGACCCCCTAGAGAGGGGCCCTATGAAGCCTTCTGTAGGGGGACCCCCTATGGAGCGCCCGCTTCTTTCTCTCAACCACACGGACCCTATGAAGCCCCTGTTTTCTTTTGCCAGGTCCATCCTCTACAGGAACAGGGCATGCACTGCACTGCTCCCTCTTCTTTCCACCAGTTCCAGCCTCACATTATGCCCCTTTTTTTTTTTTTTTTAAACATAACCTAAAATTATATGAGAATATAATTGGTAGAATATCCCCAAAGACCTTCAACCAGTAATTCCAAAATAACAACGCGAATCACATTATGCCCTTCTGAAAAAGGAAAAAGGAAAAAGACGAAACGCAACAACAACGCAAGAGCATGCCGCCTTTTTTTTTTTTTCACCAGACTCACCACCACCATCAAGGCCATCACTGTCATCACCGCCCTCCATTTAGCGCCATCGTGATAGCCGTGCATTCATAGTCGCCGCCGTCGCCGTCGTCGTCGTCGTCACCGTCGTCGTCATGTTTGTTTATGCCAATTCAAGCAAATGTGCCAGGACTCAGGAGCTCTTTCTTGAAGAACGCCCCATTTCTTGACAAGGAGCAGCAGATGCATGTGGGTTTTCGCACACTGATGGTAGTCGAAGAGAGGGGAGAGGAAATATGACACTGATTTGTACACGCTCGTCGCAGCAGCATTAATGCGAAAGCATCTCTCTGCAGCTCCTCCTCCTTGGGAGTAAAAATGTGAAATCACCTCTTCACAGCAGTTTCCACTCGTCGCAGAAGCAGCAACAGAGTGAGTCCTTCCTTTTTTTCTCCGGGCATACACCAAGCCTTCTGGAAAGGGCTATGGAGAAACTACAACTAGTCCCATAACTGCCGTCGTCCCCCCCCCCCCCCCCCCCCCCCCCGAAAAAAAAAGACAAAAAAAAAACAGCGGAAATGAATCCAATGAATGTATATAAACAAGAAACACCCGTCTGCTCCATCCTTTCTCCTCCCCTCTGCCTTCTTTCTCACTAGTCATTCACACACGTCCCAAAAATATATGCTATACAATGGATTTGGTTCCGTAATGTACATGGTCACGCACTCTGTCCAAGTTCCCTTTTCAACTTCAACTATCTCCCACAAAGCACTTGTTTCACGGAATGCACATTAGGGATTTGGTTCCGTAATGTACATGGTCACGCATGATGTCCAAGTTCCCTTTTCAACTTCAGCTATCTCCCACATACGCTACACTGTATGGTGGACCCTCATAGAAAAGAATGGAAGAATTGTGCAGAGCCTGCACAAAGGCTCCTATCAGCACAATTGTTCAGCCCCAGTTAGCACATCCCGAATGTACATGGTCACGCCCGCTGTCCAAGTTCCCTTTTTGACTTCAACCCCAGTTAGTGCATCTCTACATACACCACACCCTACATGTAACTAATCCCCTCCCGGACCCGGACTGATTTCTGGGAGGAAAAAAATCCTGCAGATCTCTCTTGCCCGGATGCTCCCGTGAGCATCCCTCTTGACCTATGCCACATTGTACGTTTGTGCGACAAACCGTGATCATCCCTGATGTACAGAGCCTGCACATGGTCACGCACGCTGTCTAAGTTCCCTTTTGTACATGGTCACACACGCTGTCCACGTTCCCTTGTCAACTTCTGCCGGACCGCTATCTGGGAGAAAAGCGTGCAAAAAAAACTGTGTGAAACTGTGAATCTTGCGAAAATGCTCCCAGGAGGTGCTGAGCTCTGACAGCAAACAACCAACTAAAAAATAATTCTGCAGATCCTGCGCAGATGTTCCCACGAGCATTTTGCCCTGGCCAGCGCATCTCCCTACAGCACATCGTACATGTAAATTTTTTGTTGTTTTAAACTTTTATTTTCTTTGTGACTTGTCCCCTCCATTTGCGTATGTGACCGCAAACTACTACCGCCTAATTCATGTGTTTTCTCAAGCACTCTGACAGCAGAGCCTCTCTCTCTCTCTCTCTCTCTCTCTCTCTCTCTCTCTCTCTCTCTCTCTCTCTCTCTCTCTGTGTGTGCAGATGTTGCGCCAAGGACGCTTTCTTGAGCGTTGAGTCTTCACCCTCTTGCACCACACACCAATTCTACGCATCGATGCTTCCTTGAGGTTCGAGTCGTCAACCCATCATCTAACGCATCCTCCTACACCACATGGTAATTCTTGAGGTTCGAGTCGTCAACCCATCCTAACGCCTCCTCCTACGCCACATGGTAATTCAACACCCCCCCTTCCTCCCTCCCCTCACTCTCTAATTAGTCATTTCTCTATGCCTGTGTCTATGCCTATGTGTGTGTGTGTGTGTGTGTGTGTGAGAGAGAGAGAGAGAGAGAGAGAGAGAGAGAGAGAGAGAGAGAGAGAGAGGTGAGAAGACTCTCCCATGACCACAATTTCCCCCTGGTTAGCGGATGTACCCACACCAAGCCTCCTCCGTGGCTTAGTTTTGAGAGAAAAGCACGCAAGAATTGTGCTGCTGCTCCCTGTGTAGATGCATCCTTGAGCATTGCACTGGATAGCTTGGACACCCACATCTCTCCGTACATTCCACTAATCCCCTCCGCGAGTCCGTGACCGATTTTAGGGAGAAGAGACTAAAAGAAGTCTGCCTGCAAACTAGGTGCAGAGCTGACAACAGAGCCCCTCTTGAGAAGAAAACTGACACCAGCAAGCAAATCAGAAAGCAGGCCAGTGCCATTTTTAGCTCTTTCCTGAGAAAGGGGTAATGGGCAGAGAAGAGACAGAAAAGAGCGGGGTGGAGGGGGAGAGGAAGGGGACAAAAAAAAAAAAAAAAAAAAAAAAAAAAAAAAAAGAGAGAGAAAGCTATTGTATGCAACGAGCCAGTGGCCGCCCCCCCCCCCCCCCCCCCCCCCCCCCAACAAAAAAAAGAAGAAACCCCCAGTCCCGATCCCATAACTGCTGCAATCGCAATCGCTACACACCTTTAGATGCGCGCGTCTGATGATCCCATAACTGCTGCAATCGCAATCGCTACACACCTTTAGATGCGCGCGTCTGACGATCCCATAACTGCTGCAATCGCAATCCCTACACACCTTTAGATGCGCGCGTCTGATCCCTTTGAAGCAGCAGTTTTTTCACCAAACCCTTTCTTTCTGTGTTGTCGGCGCTTAACTCCACCAGTGCCTACTGGTTGCAGCGGCGCAGAAACCGAATCGGCCTGCCCCTTCAGTCCAAATTCATTCGAGGCCCGGGGGTACGAAAATTGCGGTAGGTACTCAACAGGCGTGCAGTCAGGCAGGCAAGTCTCCAAATCCACGGGAAGATCCGCAAGCCTTGCAGATCGATCACCCACCACTTGGCTATCGGTGGTTTTCTGCCGTCGCTGCTCCACGGGCGGGGCGCTCCTTTTCCACTGCTGTCAACACCACGTGCCGAGATCTGCATGCTGAATCGCTAGCTACTTGATTGATGCGGCAATGTACTAGCTGCTCGGCTGTTCGTACTCGGACAGAGGCACAGCAACCTAGCTGTGCCACAGAAAAATCTGGAGGAGGGAAAGGAGGGGAAATCCACAACAAATGTGTGAAGTCAAACAGATGTTAACATTCGCGACAAGCAGATGCCGGCCCTCGCCCCCCGAAGACCCGAGATTTTTCAATAGCATACAGATGCGCCCCCATTGACCTTTGGTCCGAGTTTGTGGCCCCACAGCTGCTATGTTGTCTTATGAAAAGCATGAACCTGGACACAAAAATGGTGATGTTCGTCCTTGCCAAGTAAAGAACAAACAGAATACAAGTAATGTTCGTCCTTGCCAAGTAAAGAACAAACAGAATACAAGTAGGGCCTGACCATGCACCTAAACTCAGGGTAGTGCTGGGTGTTCAGTGGCACGCAGCGCACTTTAGGCTTCCGCTTGGCGGGGGATGGGGGTAGAGGAAGGGCAGGGCCCGGGGGCGGGGGCGGGGCAGGGGGAGGCGAAGGGGTGTTGTTGGTGTTCGTCGTGTTAGCCCTGCAATATATATATATATATATATATATATATATATATATATATATATATATATATATATATATAT